TCAGTCTATTCTCTGGGTTAAACAGACAAGATACCACTGTCTGAATGCTTCGGTCCACAGATTTCTTTTGTGGGCCATTTCCAGAAGATGGAGTAGCTTCATGAACTGAGCATTCATTTGGCAAAACTTCAGCTCCTGGATCAACTTCATCACAGTGGTAATTAACAGCTGTATAAGCCGGAGGTATAACATAAATCCGTTGTTCTCCAGCAGGCCACTGTGGTGGCATCTGATAGTTAGATACAGGCAGCTGATATCCTGTGATGACCTGAACTGGTGAACTTGGATAAGGAGGATATGCCTGAACATATTGAGTTACAGGATTCATCATGGTTGGAGGCTACATATAAAGTTTCAGTGTTTGGATTACTCCAGACACTCTGAAACTGGGGTGGAGGAGGAGGATTAAAAACCAAAGGACGTGGCTGCACATGACAAGCACATAAATTTTGTTTCCTGATTGCAGAGCCCAGTTTCAGCTTTTTACAGAAATTTTATCTGTGTTTCTACTATCTTCTGCACATCCACATCATTATAAAATGAAACAAATCCATAGCCTTTGGACACACCAGTTCGGTCCGTGATTATCTTCATTTCTTTTACTGAACCATATCTAGCAAAGAAACTTCTCATTTCGGTTTCATCCATCCTGACATCAGTTCCACCAACAAAAACGGTATTTGGCATGATTTTGCCTTCTGGTAAAACATAGCTGTGGCTGGTTGTAGATGGACTGGGTGTAGCCTCCCTGGAGATAGTTGAGTTTGGAGTCTCAGGATTTGCAGCAGACATGATGGCGGTAACCAGCAGTTCCCGCCCACGGGGCTCCAGGAGCAGAGGCTGTGGTCTGGCGCACTCCTGGGCTGTTAGGGCTGCTCCAGCTGCTGCCAGGCTTCGAACCGCAAAGAACCGAAGGCAGAGGAGGGAGGACAATCGAAGGTGGGCCACCAGGCTGAGGAGCCCTGAGGGACAGGCTGCCGGACGCAGGTGGACTGCCTGAGTGCCCACTTTGTGACGGTGCCCTCAAGGGCTTTTTCAGGAGGATAGTATCATAAGCTGCAGTGTGGCTGTGAAGAGACCAGGGCAGGAGATGGAGAGGACAATGGGCACAGGAAAATGGTCAAGATGAGGCTAGGACAAGGGCAAGGTTGGCCAAGAGGGGCTGGTCAGTGTCAAGCAAGCCAGAGGAGGGTGGTGACATGAGGCAAAGGGGAGTATCAAGAAAATGTGGCACAAGAAAATGATAGACATTGGCCATGGATGGGCAAAGAAGGCAGGCGTGATATCAAATCAGATAGAGAGAAGGTCACCATTGAGCTTTCCTAGAACAGCTTCGGCTGAGTGGTGGGGCCAGAGCCAGAGCCTGAGCCTGGCCATGGGACACAGTGATCGCTCGCAGATGCTGTTGTGAGAAGCTTGGCAGTGCAGGGACACAGGAAATGTCATAACTGGAGGGGGAAGGAGTGCCTCTTGATTCCCAGCCTCTTTCTCTTCCTGTCCGTCCATTCCTTCCTTCCTTCCTTTCTTTTTAGGTTAAGAGGATCGGAATGTGTTTGCAGGGCTAGGGAAGGTGCTGGTGGAAAAGAGAGAGTGATAGAGAAAAGTCCCTAGGGAATGTGATGTGTAGGAGCCAGAGATTAGGTGCTGATGTTCTGGAAGGTCAATAGAAAGCTTCTAAGGACAGAAGGGAAGAAGGGCTGAGGTGGTAGGAAAGGCTGCTGTACCTGAGTGCAGGGTTCTGGGTCCCTGCATTGCCCTGGATCTCTCCGGCTCCCCGTCCGGGTCCAGGCTGCTGGAAGCTGTGGCCTTGAGAGGCTCAGCTGGGCCCAGAGAGGATGCCTTTTTTCTTTTTTGAGACAGAGTCTCACTGTGTCACCCTTGGTAGAGTGCTGTGGCGTCACAGCTCATAGCAACCTCAAAAACTCTTGAGCTTAAGCGATTCTCTTGCCTCAGCCTCCCAGGTAGCTAGAACTACAGGCATCTGCCATAATACCTGGCTGTTTTTTTGTTGCAGTTGTTTAGCTGGCCTGGGCTGGGTTCAAACCGACCACTGTTGGTATATGTGGTTGGCGCTGTAACCACTGTGCTACGGGCGCCAAGCCAAGGATGCCTTTTGATAGAAGTGATGCCAGTCCCTTCAGTATGGGCACCTGCTCCAGGTTGGGTGACCTGATGGTCTGAGATAAAAAATGACAATGTTACTTTCGGAACTGAAGGTAACAGCTGTTACTGTGGGAATGCCACACAGTTGGATGCTTCATGATATTGGTGGTATTCTTAGATCTATGGAAACCAGTCTAATCTGTCCTATCTGTACATAAACAAGGACATCAGCCTGTACATACTGCAGCTCTGAAATCACCCTGTAGTTGTTATTTGTGAGCAAACCAAATTAACATGCATTATCAACTTGATCTTGTGTCGTAATCCAGGAAATCTGTGATCATTTTTATAAATATTAGAATACAATAATTTTCCGAGGTCACATAAAATTCAATAACTATAAAGAACACTATTACAAACATATATGGCCTTAGTAGATGGTTTTCATCCAGAATAAAAGTTTTTATATTAACATTTGGAAGGACAGGAATAGGGTCTAGGTGGGGTCCAGGGGAGCAGAGGCTTGCAGGTGGGGAGAGATGGGGGTGTCTCTGAGGTCTTTGCTCCTCATGTGGGAGAGGCTGGCTGGTGGTCTTCACAGTTTAGTTTTCTGCTTACAAATGGCTGGAACAAATAAGTTCTAGCTGATCCATGCTTCTTAGAATTTAAAAGGAAGAAAAGACAGAGGGGATGGTAATGACAATGCCATTAATATTTATCGATTCCTTGCTGTGTGCCCTAGATACTGTGCCACACACATTAGACGTATTGTTGTTGAATATATTGTATGATTTCTATTTTTTGTAGACATAGCGTCTTGTAACAATTCATAAAGGCTGATAGTGCTTTAAAAGTCCTCCTTTTAAAGATGAGAACACTAAGGTTCAGAGCAGTTGATGGGTTGTCCAAGGTCACATAGCACGAGCATAGCAGAGCCAGGCCTTGAACTAAGTCTGCCAGATCCCAGAGCCTGTACTCAGACACCAGCTTGGGATAAGGCCAAATGGCCATGTTGTTGGAGGCAGAGGCCCAGGGTAGCCAAAAGTGGCCTGGAGGTTAGGGACCTCCAGAAGAAGGCTGCAGGCTCTTCCCCAGGCAGGTCAATAGCTGTCGGTCAGGGCAGCTCAACTCTGTTCCCTCCTGAACCAGGAAAGCATAGGCAAGAGCCTTGGCAGCTATCCCACCACTTGAGCAGAAGCCCAGATTGTAAGTTGTTGTCCTTGGTTCTCTCTGTCCTCTTAGACAAAGGAGGTAACAGACCCACCCAAGGCCTAGGGTGTCATGGATGTGGGAAAAGAGGACCAAGCCATGAGTTAAACTGGCCCGTCTGTAGCAAGGCTCGTTTCTCCAGGTACTCAGGCCCACCCTTCAGGAGGACATATTCTGGAGACCCCTCCCTTGTTTGAGTTTCTACTGTGTTGGGCTGGGAGTTCTCAGTGGATGGAGTCACCGGCCTTTATGCCCCATTTTTCAAGATAAGGAACAAGGACAGATTGACATAGAGAAAAGTTGACTTGTTCCAAGGAGTGTATAAAGTGACTTACCTTTATTTTTTTTTAGATGGGTGTGCAAGAAAAAATAGCAGCGGTACTTCATGCAATAAATATTTTTCAATAATTATATGCTGGTTACTGATGCTTTATAGAAATGGTTCTCCTAGGCTGGGTGCAGTGGGTTACACCTATAATTCCCATGCTTTGGGAGGCCAAAATCAGAGAAATACTTGAGGCCAGGAGTTGAAGGCCAGCATGGGCAATGCAGTTAAGACCCCTACGTCCACACCAAAATATATATATATATATATTAAGCAGGTGTGATAGTAGACACCTGGAGTCCTAGCTACTCAAGAGGCTGAAACAGGATAATTGCTTGAGCCCAAGTTCAAACCCTTGAGCTCAAGGCTGCAGTGAGCTGTGATTGCACCACCGTATTCCAGCCTAGGCAGCACAGCAAGACCCGGTTTTGAGAGAAGGAAGGAAGGAAGGAAGGAAGGGTTGGTCCACTTTTACCTGTAATAAGGGTGTGAGCTGCTGCCTACATGTTCCCTGGGTGCTTCAGAGCTGTGGGGGAGGATTGGATGAGAGGATAGTATGGGAGGGAAACAGTGTCCAGCTCCTAGAGCAACCCCCCCATCCTCCATTTTACAGATAAAGAAGTGGAGGCTCAAAAGGG